TAATTCATCCCCAGCACCTACCTTCAAAAACACCATTACATGACTCCTAAACTAAAAATTTGCATGTGGGATCTCTCTCTATTATTTCCAATAGTCATAACAGTTTTGTTAGAAATGTCTTTGAAATCTCCCCTTTACTCACCGGTACCAAGTCTATCACTAAGAGTTCTGACCTCAGGCTTTATTGCCTGATGCTTCTCCTATCTGCCCTAGTCTATATCCCCTCCTGTCCTCAGAGACCCTTCCAAAAGGGGAGGGGTAACTTCGCAAATGACAACTATTACAAATGGTGAGTGCTGTGTCAGGTATCTAAAGTGCATTTTTTAACACAACCGGCAGCAAAGATTTATTACCATGGTATTTATAATGGGGAAATGAAGTACTTTATTCTAGGAAACACAGCTAAGTACCGGAGCTGACACTGAAGCTACCTCTTTTCACACTAGCTGTCTTCACTTGCTGGTCACGTTGTCTCCTTATTTGCAAAATCACCACTGAAAAATAGTTTTAAATACTACTCCCATTTCAGAATGAAATGTAAGCTTTTTTGACTTGACATACAAAGAAGAAATCTTCCTGAGATAACTCAACCCACTTTTCCAGCCTCCTTTGCCTCCACTCCTGTGCAGTATTGGAAGCTCCAGCAAGTCTGGACTTCTCACAGGTTCCCAGGCTCTTCCACAACTCAGCCTTCGCAGGTGTTTGTTCCTATCTGGAGTGATCTTTGTGAGCTAGCACATTCTTTCTCAACCTTCAAAACTCAACTTGTAAAAGTCAATAGAGCTCAAAGAGTTCCTTGACTTTCCCAGGCAACTGGCTGTCCTAACCTAGTGATCACATGATCACACTAAGCACATTACACTCCCCTGCAGAGACTACACTTGTGATCTTGAGGGCCCACTGTCACATCTTCAGAGCCACATTCAGGCTGTCTGTATAAAAATTGATATGTCTTCTGCAGCTCAAGCTGCTATAGCAACAGCACTATATACTAAGTGATTTAAACAACAGAAATTTCTTTCTCCTATTTCCAGGGTCTAGGATGTCGGGAACAGGCATCTCTATAAATGGGGTGGTACCATGTTCTCCGCTGCACTGAATTATGGGCGAGACTGAAGCTATGAGTGGGAATCGAGCTATAAAACAAGCTGGAGAGGAGAAATGAGGGGAAGAAATACTGAAGGTAAAGAAGAGAGAAACCATGAAACAGAGACAGGAGGAGACACACAGGGAGAGAGACACATGGGGGAGTAGTTCCACATGCTTCTCAGTTTGGGGACTTTGGGGACTTGGAGGAGAGATGTGTAGAGACACTTGGAAGAGATATGTGGGTGAGAGAAGTGGGGAGGGGGCACTGGCAGGCTTTATCTTGATTTGTACTTTACTTTTGCTCCTTCTGTATCAGAGTTGCTGACTTTTTTTAGCCCTTTCCCGAGGCTCCCTGCCACATGAGTGAATTAAGATATGGTGCACACACAGATGGAATACTACTCAGCTAGTAAAAGAAAACACACTACTAGCTTTTGCCATGAATAACAACATGGATATCCCTGAGGATATAATGCTAAGTCAGTCAGGGAAAGACATGTCAGATGATTTCATGCGTAAGGAGAAAACAGAGAAACAAGACAAAAGAAGAGAAGAAACTAAACTAAAACAAATCTGTAGAACTGAGGCTGCCAGAAGAGGAGGGAAGATGGGGAACAAATGGTGGAGGGGCCCAGTGGACTGTGGTGGAAGACTATGGGTGCTGTGGTGGTGGATGTGGTGTGGTAACACACATCTGAGGAGATGCAAGCCTATACCTCTCAATCACACAGTATTGTACATCAACATGACCTCAATAAAAAATAAAAGCAAAAAGCACACAAAACCCCAAAAGTGTGCCTAGTGACAGGGCCCAGAGTGGGGTGAAGGAGGGACTCATGTCACCACAGCCCTCCATGTGATGGTAGGCTGCTGTCCAGACAACTTAGTCAAAATGTTCCCTCCTATGGGTGAATATTTAAAGGTAATTGGTTACATTCATTCATAAGCTGTATCTTTGGGTGCTAAAAGCCTAACTCATTAAAAAACAAACAAAAGTAATTTTGAAAATTAAAATAGGATTTTTAAAAAATGCTTTCAGAATCATGAGCCCAGTAGGAAAAGGTTTTTTATATAATAAAATTGCTACTTCTATAAAATTCCATAGAAATTCAGCTTCAGAGACAAAGACAAAATTGAAATGCACAATTAAAGATTGAATTTTGATTTAAAAAAAGAAACAAGCTTTGTTTCATTATATGAATAAAATGGACAATCATTAGCTAAGAAAACTACCTCAGGAAGTCAGGACACAATATAAATCAGTCAAACTTTCCTACCTTTCTAGTCACAGGAAATCTTAAAATATCACTCCATTCTGCCTGTGTGTGTAGCAGTCTCAAGCATTCAACATATTTTATTACACAGAATTGCATATTGTATCAAATTAAAATAGCTTGTTTGTTAGTCTTATTTAAAAATGTTATTTTAAAAAAGGAGAGTATGTTCTGCAAGATACGGGCTCTCTTAGCAACACTGAAAAAAAAAAAAGAGTTTAAGAAAATTAGCCAAAGTAAACAGACCCAAAGACAACAAGATCTCTTCAGGCCACTCAGTATTAAAACTTTTCATGTCTGATGCAGTGACAACGAGCTGTAGAATCGTAACACAACTGTCAGCGTGTTGCTGCGTGTAAGGCCTGTGGCACTGTAGATTGACGGACTAGGACACAGGCCAAGGGGAACAGAAGCACAGTTGGAAATATAAGATAGAGAATGCATCTGCTTCCCCCATGCCCCACCTCAGTTCTGGAGCTTATTTCTTGAACTTTGAAGTTCAGAAATGTTCTGAGATGGGCGGCCAGATAATTTGAATCATTCGCTAGATTAGTAGTCTCAAAGATCAGTACAGACATTAGATCCTCAATCTCCTGAGGAACTCATTAGAAAAATTCAATGTCTTTGATTAGAATTCAGTAGTTCACCTTATGTCACCTCAATTACTCAGATCTTACGTCATGTAACACTGGAACATTTGTTATAATTATTTGTAATGTTTTTCATGGGGATATATTTATCTCTACATTTGTATATCTTTATTTACAAATACTCCCCTAAAATACAGTTACCATCCTTCCTTGCTGGTATATATGCCTCCGGCTCTGGGCTGGTTTGTGCCGGCTTTGCTGAGACTTCCAACACCAGCTCCTAGCACCTGAACTCCACTTGTGTCTCTTGGAATGCTTGCTCTGTACGTTGTCACGCTGTGTGAAGCCCACGCCAGACTTGTAGAGCGGCCACATGGAGAGAAGAAAGAAATGTGCCACTAGTTCCCAGCTGTTCTGAAGAGCCCAAGCAGAGGCTAAACAAGTGCACTGAGAAGCTTCCAGATGACTCCAGCCTCAGCTGTTAAATGATTGTCGCCACTGAGGGAGCCGAAGTACACAGCTTTGCCTATCAAACTGCAGAAAAAAGAAACAATACACATTACTTTTTTAAGCTCCTAACTCTGCATTTGTTACACTGCCCAAATTGAACCCTCAAGAAATGCTTAAACAGAGCTAATGCTTTTCATTTATACATTATTGTGGGATATCCAGCCCGCCTTGTTCTTGGGGATATTGTCTTGGTTTCCCAGAGTTCCTGTTTGTTAACTAGGTGTAGGGTCATGCAGGGGGCCTGATCCTCTCAAGGACAAAAGTCCTGGTATGAGGAACATACTGGAAAACCAGTTATCTGCTGATCACAGCAGGCAGATATTAGTAAAGAGATAATATGCTTAGACCTGCAAGAATAATGGAGCCCCCAGGCAAGAGCCCAGGGTCACCACCCTAGCTTGTTTCCCCAATAACTGCTTCCCCCAGGCATGCGCACTCCCTCTGTACTCGCCCTATCTCTGGACTCAGTACTAGTAAGTCCAGGCCACCTTTGGATGGGGACTGCAGCTCACTTCCGGTGAAGCCGCTCTAGGCTTCTCATGGCTCTGCATGGACATTGAGTAACCTTTCCCTCATTCTGTTACAGGGCAGGGAGAGAAGGGCACCCCTGAGCCCCCAAACCTGCCTGATACAAATAGGTTCTGCCACCCACCGCATCAAGACAAAACATACAAAGACTTTAATGAAAAGGGACTGTAATACAGTGCATGTACAATACAGAAGACAAAGAATATAATATCTAAATCAAACACCTGAAGTTACCCATCCCCTCGTGGGCAAAAGTCAACCCAAAAGGGATTGGCCCACCTGCCACAAGCCCACAGCACCTTCTGGCAGGGACCCGTAGAAAAGGGTCAGAAATGACCAGACAAGTCTGGGAGGAAAAGAGAAAAATCAAAATCAATATAAACACTGCCATAGTCACCTCCCTTCAGGTCTCTCACCCACATCTGCCTTAACCAGTCTAGGGTCAAGAAACAAGCACGGTTTCTTCATCGCATGCTTGCTGCTCCATGTGGCTTCCTCAGGTCTTCTTCTGGCTCTCCATCCTGCTTCCTTCTCTTCTTCAGATTCCTTTTCCTCTCTATTGTCTCCTCTGCTCCACCCTACTCTTGAGTGGGGCAGGGAACCTGGAACTTCTCCTTTTCCTAGGGACCATCCCAGTTACAATCCCACGCAGCTTCCCACACAGCTGCCCTAGTAATAGTTTTTGAATCAACAAAGTTCCTTCTAGAAAACATATCAATGAAAACCTAGTTTTATTAATTGCATTTGGTCTTGCAAATGTATTACTTTAGTTTCTTGAATATCAGTCATTTTGGAATGAAGAACCAACTATCAATAATTTTGAGTAGACAGCACGGTGGATGAAGGATGAATTCAATTGTGAGTCTGCTTTATTCTGAGAGATTTGGGATCTCTGTTAAACTGGTAACAGTGCATTTGACTGATGCTATAGTAATAAAATGGAATCTGTAAGGAAAACAATCTGTAAGGAAAACATAGAGCCGTCACCTATACTTTGCAAGCACAGCGGTTGTGACTTGGTGTCACTGACTTCCCATTGTATCCTGCAGCTCAGGGAAAAGTGCCAGCTCCCAGAATCTTCTTCTCAAGGTGGTTCCTGATCAAAGTAGGCCAGCAACGAGCACTTATGAGACACTGGAAAAGGGAGGAGCAGGAGCTGTTATTCTGGCACTAATGGTGTGGGCCCAGAGTAGACCTGAGAGTCACAGCAGCTTCTGGGTGCATTCATGCAAATTACCCTTTGGGCCCCAAAGGTAATTGAAATGGTAGTGATTTCTTTAAAACTACCTGTTTTGGGCCCTCCCTGGTGGCGCAGTGAGGTAAAGCACAGCACTAAGAAGCTAAAGCCATTTCAGCATGAGTTTGATCCCCACCCCGGAGGTGACCCACATGGCGCAGCAGACCTCTCCTGACCACTGCCGCTCCCCTCAACAGTGTACTTCATCCATCTGCCTGTTCTGCTCCCCACTCTGTCTCTGGTGAACCCTCTCACTGCCTTTGCACCTCCAGCTTATACCCCAGTTCTGTATGCATAAATAACTAAATCTTTTTTGAAAATTACCTGTTTTAGTGGGAAAACTTGCTATTAGTCACTTCCTGGTGGTTCTTTAAAAAATAGGTGTCTAAGATATTTCTTAATATTTTTCATATTAAGTCAACCACCTTGGCAATGCTAAATGAGATTACTGGCAACAGCATCACATCTTTAATCTCCCCACTTTTTCAATGACTGTGGAAAGAGCTTCTTCCCACATTAAAAACCCTGCCCACTTAAGTTTACACAGAGTAGCTTCTGTTTTTCTATATAAACTGTGGTTTATACAATGTGGAGGTTACAATGCATTGTTTATACTGTTTTGAGGTATGTTAAAAATTACTATGTATTGAAATAATAGAATTACTAGGCAAAACCCACAAGCCATATTATACTTGAGAGATTTTTAAACTGCTCTGTCCTGTACTTATCCAGCATGTTCAAACAACATGGATAGGAGCTGTAACATAAAAAGGATGTCTGAACAAAAGAAAGTCTTCAAGACTTTTCAAGTAAAATATTTACATAGGAGGCCTAGCAACACTAAATACTGATGGCTTCCAGGGGAAGTAATTCACTTCAGACTCTCCTTAAGAACCAAATTGATATGTCTCAAGAACACAAACCTCTCTTAATATTTCCCTGTCATTCTACTGTAGATATAAACTTTTTAACTTTCTTGATCTGTATTGTGCTTTCTAAAGAGACTTAAGCATTCATACTCCTGCTAGCATTGTTTAGAAATGCTCATTTTATTATCCTTGACTACATTAAGGTCATTTTTAAAAAATTGTAACTAGTGAAATTTCTATAGCATTTTATGAAAGTTGCTTCCATGGTCTTTAAGTTATTTGATATTCAGATTATTCTTATCAAGATAAGAACATACAAATCTAAAAACCAGGAAACATGGTATTATTCTTGGTTCTGTAATGAATTTTTCAATCCGGACAAAGGTTTATGCTTTCAGTTAAAAAAGGAAATTAAAAAAGGAACTATTAGGCCTGACTCTTCTCTAAGTAGTACCATTTTAAAAATAAAAACAGAGGAAAGTTACTAAATTTAAACATCTTCAATGGGTAGTGAATATTGATTTGCTTATTCCTGGGTTCAACCTTTGTTGAGACCCATATATTTACATTTTTAATATATAATATCCCCAAGTAACAACCAGGGTGACTTCTTACAAACAAACATATTAATATTTCTGTCATAAAACATACATTATGAATAACCTCAAGGTCAGCTTTTGCTGTCAAATAAGTTTTGGCAATAAAACTTCTAATTTTCACAGCTGCTGGGATTTTGGAATTGCAGGTAAGTCACCATCATGCTATATCTTCTAGAATAGAGGTAAGAACTATAGGGATATACAGGTTTTATATCTAACCCAGACTGGAGGGAACAGGAATCCGTATAATCCTTTACATACTGTGATAAAGGCAGAGTAAATGTGAGACTGTTTGACGAAGAGATTATTATTGATGATGGACTTTCATAGACAGTGTCCAGTACTTCTTGCTTTGGTATTGTGTTACTGTCAGATACTTCTTAGTTTGTGATACAAAATTAACACCCCTACCATCATACAGAGTTGATTATATCACTATCTTTGGAAATCCCTCAGAGGATCTGTCTCTTATCTACCACTCTACTTACCTATACTCTATAGGTCAGGGTACAAGACAACGTTAGGTAGAAGCACAAATACAAGGAAGATTTGTGAAGACTGCAAAATTGGTGGCAGAGAGCAGGAGGGGGAAATGCCAAGGCTCAGGGATTTCAATCCATCAGACTTCAGTCTGCTGGAGCACAGCTCTATAGCAAGACCAAGGGGTTCAGTTTCAGATGAAATGACATGAGATCTCATTATCTATACCCATCAACCTATAAAACAACTGAATAGTGTTTTTAAAATAAAAAAATTAGCAGTTTTTGTATATTCTTTGGTTTGCACACTGCAATATATTTATGAATACAAACTATTAGCGATCTACTTCTCCCAGCTGGCACAAAGTTTGGGCAATGAATATTAAAACTTAAACAAATGATCATTTGAAACATTATTATGCCTATGCAAACAAACAGATATGAAAAATGCACATTCTTCTGGGGCCTCCCTGGTGGTGCAGAGGTTAAAGTCTTCATCTATCAAGCTACAGCACTGTGACTTGAGTTCCATGACCACTAGGCTGGTGACCCACATGGCACAGCAGATGTCATCTGTCTCACCTGCTGCTCCCCTCAACAGTGTACTTCATCGATCTGTCTGTTCTACTCCCCACTCTGTCTCTGGTGAACCCTCCTACTCCCCCCACATCTCTAGCCTACACCCCAGTTCTTGTATGTATAAATAAATATAAAATAAATATTAAAGAAAAAAGAAAAATGCATAGAACTTCTTGTTCCTTAGCTCACACTAATATTAGTAAGGACAAAGAGGATTTGAAGGTCCTTTCCTCCTTCCCTCTCATATACCCTAAAATAAAGTGGACTCTTAATTCTGTTAGTCTTTTATAGCTTTTTATCTCTAAAAAAAAAATTCACCTAATTGGGAATTTATTTTTAAATAAATCTGTTCCATATGGAAAATAATTTTCCTGGGGTAAAGTTTACATAAACCCTTGATTGTGATTTTATGGGAGATAAGGAGGACTCCATTCCTTATTTGGGTAAACATAGACTGCAGCCCCCTAAAATTACCTCACATTTGAAGGCTACTATAGCCCTGCAAGAGTTTTAAAGTTCAGGAAAAGAAGACTCCTAGATACAACAGCTAGTCCACATAGGAGGCCCAGATTAAGGGGTCACAGTCCAAATCAGAATCTGGATTCTAGACTCTCTGCACAGGAAGCTTTCATATTTCCTACCCTAAATAGTAGCAGGCATTCACTTCCTCATTCAAGTAACGATTATTGAGCCGTGACTTCGCATTTATTTAGACCCTACTAAGTGTCAGGCACTGGAACAGGGACATAGCAATGGACATTTCAGATAACAACCCTTGCCTAGGAACTATATTTCAGTTGGAAAGGCAGAAAACAAACATGAGAAATAATAAAATGTATAAGGTAGATGGTGCTAAGCATGATGAAAAAATAAAGAAAAGAAACAGAGCAAAAAGGGTCCATGACCTGGTCAAAGGAGACTGTAAGTTCAAAAAGGTTATCCAGAATAAGCACCCGGAGGGGGAAGTATTAGAACAAAGAGGTGAAGGAGGTGAGGATGTGATATTCACAAGAATACTGTGGGGGAAAACAAGTGCAATTGTCCTGACATGAGTAGTGTGTTAAGTGTGTTTGAAGAAAAACATGGAGAGAAATGGCCAGCAGGGAGCAAGCAAGGGGGGGGGGGAGTGGAGGGGAGGCCAGATTTGGAAAGGCCTGTGGTTTTACTCCTCTAATAGAGGCCAACACCAGTGGAGAGTTCTGTGAGGAGATGACTGGATGTGAACTTTCATTAGAGTTTAATCATGTTAGCTGGAGATGCAGTGGTGGAATTTCCAGCCAACATCAGGTGAACTGTGGGGAAGGTGACAGAGGAGGCAGGGTTGGTAAGTGATTCATTCTGACAGATTTTTAAGGATGAGTCACAGAACTTTTTGAAGGTTTGGAATGGGTGTGAGAAAAAAGAGGAAGCAAGGGTGACTCGAATATTTAGCAGAGCAACTAAATGACAAGATTTGTTTCAGTGAATTGTCCCATTTACTGAAATGGGGGTGGTGGTGGGGCTGCAGATCTAAGGCAAGACCGAGGAGTTCAGTTCTACAGGTAACGAACTTGAGATGATAGCTAAGGTAGGGAAGAGGCAGGCAGGCGGAGAGACAGGCCTGGAGTTCAGGAGGGCAGTGGGGACGAGAGATTCCAAGAACCAGTAGACTATGCAGTATCTTTAAGCTCCAAGGAGGGCTGCAGTGAGAAGAGGTGTGAATACCGACAGAAAAGAGAACAAAGGACTAAACCCTGAAAAACTGCTGAAGAAAACGAGTAGCTCTCACATGCTGCTATTGCTCAGGTCAAGGGAAACTGAGAAAAGGCCCCTGCACTCAGCAGTGGAATGTCACCATGCAGGGTCCGTGCCTGCTGGGTGTCTGCTGGGGTTTAAGAGCAAAAGGAAGGAGACAGAGCAAGTCCTTCCTATGTATCTGCTGGATCTCTTTATCTGGCTGTCACACAGGGTTTTAGGAATTTGATCTTTTTGCTGACTGCCTCTCATTTGTAACCCTGCACTATGCATTTTTTACACTTTTAATATATATTTTATATATCATTTAAAAGTAAGTTTTTTAAAAAATATTTTATGCAATTTCTTTTCTTAGATTTTATTTCTATATCTATTTAGATTGTTCATTTTAAACCAATGTTTATGGTGTCACCCCCCCACACACACACACACACAGTCCTGGTGTCATCACCACACTCCCCCACGCTCCTCCCCCCTTCTGATCCTTCTCTCTCCCCCTCGCCTGTAGGGTATCTCTGGTTTATAACTGTCTCTTATTTTTTGTTTGTTTTATTTTATAATAACTGATGTCTTCTTTTGAGTTCAGGGTCCTTGGGTTCACTCTGGGAAAGGTTTCACCAGAGCTCCCCTTTTAACG